TCTTTGTGTTTCCTGTCTTCCCAAAGGTCCATCTCTGAAGTAGACGAAGAGGTCGGGCAAGGTGTGCATGTGGATAGTACTTCTATAGTTGACCTTGATTTGGCCATTGACACGAGCACCACACAGGAGATCAGCATTGGCCAGATGCTTTGCAATGCTGCACGTCGAACCGCCCAGAGTTCAACGTGTGCTGTTGGACTGTGCTGCGATCCGTTTATGAATGGTTCTGGGCAGAAGTGCAAGGTGAAACCGCCAATCGTTCTGGTGGAGTTGGCTCTATGAGCTGTGCTGCGATCATGGGAGGGGCTTGCTCCTTGCTTGCAGACAAGTGGGCGCTACTCGCAGGCCTAACTACAGTACCCGCGGGCCTCCCGACAGGCCTGCCCACAAGCCTGATTGTAAGTGGGCCTACAGTAGGAGCTTGTAGGCAAGCCTTCGGTAGGACCGTGGGTGGCATGTAGGTCGGCCTGTGGGTCACCTTGACCTGCAGGGAAGTACAGAATCTTATGGGGGAGAGTCGTGAGTCCTAGTCCTCTGCCGAGCCTGATCTGCCCTCTCCTCTCGCCCGGGAGAGGGGAAGACCTCAGTTTCAAGTGACATTGGAATCATTGGAGAGAAGGAAAGGGCAAGGAAGGGTAGAGGCAGGCCGATGGGACTCAGAAGTTCTTAGAGGGAGAAGACAAACCTAAGGAGGCTTCGAGGAGGAGTAGAGGAAGCAGCAGAAGAAGTCGAAACAATACAGAACATGAGTAGGAAGAGGCGAGGAGAGGTAAGTTGCGCACGGGGATCCGTATGTGCGTTCATGCTCGTAATCATGTGCGCTTCACTTAGGCGGCTCGCTCTTGCTAATCCCTGGAGCTCCTCGAGTGGAGGTTCATTTGCCACACCATGTCAGCAGGCTTTTTGCTTCAGATGCTGTCAGACCGTCAGCCAGGTGTCGGGCATTGATCTTGTCAGCTGGAAAGCTCCAATTGCTGGAGCTGCGTGCGGGCTGTACATTGTGCAGCTGCCTGAAGGCGGGTGTGCACCAGACCAGCATGTGTCGGAACTTTGCGTGAGCAACAGCCAGGTGACGTCCTTGGAGAGAGGTGCCGGCGAGTGAGTGTCTCGGTGAGCAAATGGATGTGGCGGCAATGGCAACAATGCCACGAGCTACTGAGTCAAAACAACAGGGTCCCGTGCCCGAAATTTCCTTGGTTTGGTCGGATGATGCTTTCCAACTCGATGACCTAGTACATGTCAGTACACGAACCAGGTCTCTGTGAAAGTGGCATGGGACGGTGCGCTTGTGAGTTCTTGGCACTTCGCTTGGAAGCCATGGCAACTCAAGCCTAAGACGCACCCAGCATTCATGAAACCTCACTGCTGGAAGCATTCATGTTGACATGCAGGCCACGCGATTGTGTCAAAGTCGGAAACATGGTGGGGTATGCTTTCAGCCATGTCGCACGCAGACTCTTTGCTACGTCGGCCTCAGATCGGAAAATCCAGCTATGAGCAGGATATCGAAACACTTGACTCTTGCATGTGAAGCAGGTGCTGTGTATCGACTGCTCAATCAAGGTGTTTCGAAGCTGGAGTTACAGATTCAAAGGGAGCTGCTGGGAGCAGCTTTCGGCAACTCGGACTCCACCAGCCGTTCCAACCGTCCAGATCCCGGTGCCACGGCACGGATTCTTAAAACTGTGCACGAGTGGAAAGACCAATTGGGGGCCGTGAATGCCTCAACTGCCCTACATCTCTTGGCGCAATCAAGTCCATCAAGTCCTGGAGCTGCGCCATCCAGGATATCCAGCCAATCCAGCCTGCACAGGGAGTGTGCAGAGCTTGTCTTGTGCACTGTCGGTGGCCATGCGCAGCCTCGAGATCTCGCAATTGCAAGCTGGGCGGCGGCCAGACTTCAGCTCGAAAGCGCGCCAGAAGAAAGCAAAGAAAGCACGGCGGAGTCATTGCAAGCCTTGAAAAATGCCATTGCAGCTTGTGTTCCACGCCTGGATGGGCAAGACATGGCGAACGTTGGCTGGGCTTTTGCCACCATGCAGCTGCAAGAAGCCGCGGAGCTCCTGGAGGTTCTGGCACAGGAGGCAAGCACCAAGGTACAGAATTTCGAGCCGAAGCACATGGTGGTGCTCACCTGGGCCCTCGCAAAGGCCAAAGTTTGCTCTGAGGATTTCTGCTGGGCTGCAGCAAATCAAGCACAGAAGTCTAAGGCTAGCAAGTGGATGCCGCAAGACATATCGAACTTCCTTTGGGCCTATGCGGTTCTGCGATGTGAAGCTCCAGTGCCGATGGAGATCCTGGCCGCGAGAGCAGCCGAGCTTCACTGGAAGCAGTTTCGGCCACAGGAGCTTCAACGCTTCAACAAGCACAAACAAGAGAGACAACATGAGAGACATCACACGAGTGGGCATTGGCACGAAGAGCGCATCTAGCCGCTGTGCGAATGGAAGGTTCGAGGAGGTAATGGAAAGTGGGTGCCGACAGCGTCTTTCAGTGTCTGAGAAGCGTGGCTTTTTGCCTGCCATAGGAGCTCTCCATCTCGATGTGGGCTGCCTATAGCCTGGGAGTTCATGGCAGAGGGCCCAGCGTTCGTGCAGTGAAGCGCATGCTGCAGCATGCAGCGAGGGAAATTCGCAATGGTGGGGCACAGGCCGGGACGGCCGGGACCGATTCCTGGTATATCCTGGTATTGCTACGGTAGCTAGAGCTACTTGTACCTGCTGTACCTGCTAGCTCTGCTTTCCAATGTGATATGCTTCGAGAGTGATCGTGCCGCGAGGACTTCGAGCCACGCCACATCATGAATGCCGCCTGGTCGCTTGCGCGGTGGCAAAGGCACTGCCGCCTTCTGGGTTGGCCACAGGATGCGTGCAGCCTCACACCACGCGCTAAGATAGCTCACGCTGACGCTGGTATCTGCAAGGCATGATTCGGTCTCTTCTTTCGAATGCCATGTGCCATACAGTGGTCCCCCTGGAGGAGCTGAAGCCCTATGTGTGTCGACCGGCCTTGCGTGTTCTGCTGGGCGCTGCAGCCACGGACCTCAACAGATTTGCAGCACGAGAGCTTAGCCGCCTCATGTGGGCGGGTGCAAGTCAGTCATGTATCTCGGCTGTAATTTGCAGAGAGTTGCAGAGAGTTGCAGAGAGCCCAGCTGAGTTTGGCACGATGCTTTCCTCCCGAGCTCCTAAGGCTTGAGACTCCGGGAGCTGGGGCCGCCTCTTCTCCAATATGTCAGGTGCAAGTGCTTTCCCTCAATTGCTGACATTCTCAGCCAAATCCTGAATGACCTGGACGGTCAATGATGCATGGTTTTACTCTGCCTTTACTTTTGTGGAGGAACTCCAAGCAGCTGGTGAAGTTCGACGCTGACGACTTGGTAAGCCTGGTGCCATGTCCACATTCGTCCAAAGTTTCAGCAAGTGATTCAAACCATGGGCATGCAGCGCTGTGTTGTGGCAGTCGTGATCAAGCCTGTCATTTCAGATCAGCCAACCTGAAAAGGTGAATTCCCTGGCATGGATGCTTGAGCGGCTCGTGTGGGAAGCTCCTGGACGCCGGACAAAATCAAGGCTGCCACAGCCATGGCCGAGTCTGCCTCGGGTGCCCGTTGGCGACGCGCGGCGACTTGGTGATCATGTTTCTCGTCTTTTGCGCCGTATCCCATCGTATCCCATCGTATCCCCCCCGTAATGGCCCCCGTGTATCAGCTGACAAGCCAAGCAGTCACCAAGGCAGTTGCAAAGAGTGCGCCCGCCAGCCCCGTGCCTTCGTGCAGCGGAAGCAAAAACCAGGGCTTAACACGAGAGTCACGAGGGTGCACAGCAATGTTTTACTTCATTGTCTTGATGTGTTTTTTGGCCAACACCTGCACTGTTGATATTGCTGCGGTGCAGTTTCTGGCACTCGTTGCCATCTTAGACTCCTCTGCTTGAGATCCTTCGTGCCGCCGAGGGCCTTCCGAAAGCAACGATGCAAATTGCAAAGAACCTTGAACAATTCAAGCCACCCAGTCTCCACATGCGATGTGCCGGGCATCTCATGAGATCTCGTGAGGCCATGCACCGCTAAGATTCTCACACGGCGTTCCACGCTGCTTTTGCAGTTGGCTATGGCTCTTTCAAAGGATGTAGATTGAGATAGAGTAGATGTCCTACTTCGTGAAGTTTCGACTGGCAGCCCGACATGCATCCTCCGTTTCGGTGCTGTCGGCATCCAGATCCGGCTACGGCTCCCACGGGGCTGTAGCCCTTGCAGCCAGTGCTGGAGTCCTGTCAGGTCTTTTCATGGGTTACAAGAAACCTTGCGCTCACCATTCTGGTTGCGAAGTGCAACTTACAGATGCTCAGCAGCAGCTTGGCACAAAGCTTTGTGATCTCGTTGGCAAAAGCAATGTCAGCAACAATGTGACGATGAAGGGCTCTCGGCTTGGACAGGGAACTGCGCTCGCTGTTGTGAAGCCAGGATCTTTGAAAGAGGCCATTGCAGTTCTCACAGCGTGCTCTGCCGCGGAAGTGGCAGTTCTGCCACAAGGTGCCAACACGTCTCTCACAGGAGGTTCTGTTCCGCGCGGGGAGTGTGACAGACCAACAGTGATTATTAACATGAGGCGGCTCAACAGGATTCTTCCGGTTGGAGCTGATGCAGGCCAAGTGCTGTGTTTCGCAGGAGCTGGCATCTTTCAGCTGCAGCGAGAGCTGCAGACCGAGTATGGCAGAGACTCACACTCCGTTCTTGGATCCATCTTCCTGAACCCATCCGTTGCTGCGGGAGTGTCCTATGGAAGCGGGGGAACACAGATCCGGAAGGGGCCAGCATTTACAAATCGCGCGCTGTTTTGCCGCGTGGGTGAAGGGGGCAAGGTTGAGTTGGTGGACACATTGGGACTGAAAGCAAAGGGCGATGATGCTTTGTCCTTTCTCGAGTCTGCCACGAGCCTTGTGCCGGAAGACTTGGACCCACAGTGCAAGTCTGCTGCATCCTGGCCCAACTATCGACAACATCTCACCAAGCTGGACAGCAATGTCTCTCGATACAATGCGGATACAAATGGCGTCGAGTGCAATCGCTCTGAGGGCAAGGTGTTGATATTGGCAACTTTACACGACACGTACCCCATGCCAAAGGAAGATAAGGTGATTTGGGCTTCGTGCCGCGACTTCCAAACGGCCCAGGCACTCAAGCGGGAGGTCTGCATCTCTTCCCCTGATTGCATGGCCAAGTCCTGTGAGTACATCAACCGTGAGGTGCACGATGCGGTTGACCAGGCGGGGCGCATCCTGATCAAGATGATCGAGGTCGTGGGTATGGTGAGGCTGGAGCCTCTCTGGAACTTGAAGCTTTTCATCGAGTCTTTGCCTGTGCCGTTTGCAACTATCGTATGCGACAAGTTCCTGTGGTGGTTCAATGGCATCTTGCCGAAGTCTTTGCCGGCAGAGCTACAGAAGCTCACACAAGAGTACGATCACCACCTACTCATGGAGTTTGCAGAATACAAACCAGGCGAGCTGAATAGTTTGATGTCCCGACTAAAGGAGTTTCGGGACTCCCAACCAGAGGGGGCAGTGCAGTTCCACGAGTGCGCCGACAAGTCCGAGCGATCCAGAGCAACTCTGTTCCGGTTTGCTGTAGCACCAGCTTTCCGCACTTATTGCATTGGCCTTGGCCAGCAAGGGCTCTCCATTGACTATGCGCTGCCAAAAAACTTCACTCGGTACCCAGATTTGCCAGCAGAGTACCCTATTTTCAAGCGGCTGGTGTATTCTCACTTCGGCTGCAACGTCTACCATGAAGATTTCGTTTTCGATAACAGCCTGGATGTACACAAGGCAAAGATGGCCATCAAGAAGGTGTGGCCTCTCCAATTCGTAGCTTTTACGCCCTGACTCCTTTTCAGTCGAACATCTTTGAATACATCCATAGCTCTCACATGACGTAGAACCACGTTTCTCGCTGCTCCTGCCGCCGCTGCTGCTGCTGCTGCTGCCTCTGCTGCTGCCTCTGCTGCTTCCGCTGCTGCTGCTGCTGCTGCTGCTGCCGCCGCGGAAGGCCATTGAGAAAGTCGGTGGCAAGCTTCCTGCTGAGCACGGGCATGGCACTGAGTATGCCGCACCTGCGGACATGCAGCAGCGATGGCAGCGGTCAGACCCAACGAACACCATGCAACTTATCTGAATTAATTCATCGGAAAAAACAGTGTGCGGGCTTTGCTTCGCCGAGCCATGCCAGACAACACGGCTGAGTCGGGCAACATAACCCTGCACCCTTGCAAATGTTCTTGGACTTGCCGTTTGTAATGTTGTCCACGCTAGTTGCTGAGTGCGTTGCTGAGTGCCACTTGCGTAAGGAATCCTGGAGTCCATGCCTCAGTTGTTCTAGTGCCGACTATGCAGCCAACACTTGCGGCTGATCCGATCCAGTTCCCGAACCACCTTATCCCTGCCAATCTTTGCAGGTCGGGGGCACATCCTACAAGAAGGACTACGCCTGAAGATCCTCACAACCGATAACAAGCTGAGAGCCGCATCCTGTACATAGTCCCCTCGAAGGTCCAGCACGCAGAGAAGCACAGCTCACGCAAGTCTCACTTTTTCCACTGGAAGAACGCGCCCAGCTCCAAGAAAGCAGGTTGAATCTCTAAAGTAGACTTCTTCAACAGCCCGCGCCGCCTTCCCCGTCCTCTCGCTACTAGCACACTCGAGACATCGCCAGGGTGATTTGTTTTTGTTCTGGTGTGTTGTTCCTTGTTGTTCTTTGTTATTCTTTGTTGATCTTTGTTGTTCTGTCTGTCTTGGTTTCAGAGCGTCAACGCATCAAATGCTACGTGAGCCGCTCGAAGCTCAAAAAAACACACACACACACACACACAAAGGCAGAAAAGAGCAAGGATCCCGGGACTTCCAGCAACTTTCACACAATCATGGAATCATGCACGTGCGACGGTCGGCCAACATGACGACACTATGCCCAGTTCTGCAGGGTTCTGTTTCGAAATGCTCTGAACACCTTGCAGTGGGACCCAGGCAGGTCAGTTGCAGCTGCATGCTCCGCCCAAATCCTGCTCACACTTTCTTAGGGTTTGGTCGTCAATTTGGGTGTGACGATGCGGGGCGAGAATTGCTGCACTTCTGCGGTGAGCTTTGACCACTGCCTACTAAAGCTCGGACTGCAATCCCCAGTAGCTGCAGAAGCTCGAGCCTCAGACAGCCACAAGTTGTGTGCAACACATTTTTCAGTCACATCGTAAAATGGAATATGCAACTATACACGTATATGCAGATACATTGCTGGCATTTGCAGAGCAGCTGCGCTTGTGTTTGCAGAAGTGTTTGCAATCTTCTTGCTTTCATTGATCTAATTCTGCATCATTCCGAGGTGACGGCTCACCAGCTGCTCATGTCACCTTGAAATTGGTAGCACGAGCAAGTTCGATTTGTTTGAATTTGTGGACAGTTTTGGCTCGAACGCATGGGCGCCATGGACGCCGCGTTTGCCGGGTACAGCAACTTAGCTTGTCTAGCTCGAAGGTCAAGTAACTCCGATCCCCTTCCTTGTGAAATCGGGGTGTTTGCTTCCGGCGCCCTTCTGGGTGGCTGTGATCCTATCAGCCAAAGGTTCAATTCGATGTGCGTGGGTTGTTTTCCTTGTTTTCCTTCACGTGGGCGCCTCCTTAACCTTCTCCATCTCCCTACTAAACCAGGTCGCGTTTTGGCAGCCCCATCATGCGTGTCATAAAGCCTCATCCAAGCCATGTCATCCGTTTGTGTTTGCATGGAGAGTTAGGTGTGAACGGACACATGATTCGGTTCAGGTATAGTTGCTTCCCTTCCCTATCAACAGTCGTCGGACTGCTTCAGCACAGGGGAAGGCGTGTGAATAATTGTGAATACTATTTGTTGTTGCGCGCCTCCTTCTGTTGAGCAGGAAACCGAAGTGCATGGTCACGCCTTTCGATTCTGGCATGGGTGTTCACTGAGTTTATATACTACCGTAATATACCGTAATACTACCTGGTTTTTGTATGGCAAGGTTCAACATACCACAGGAGGCGCCTCATCCCGATCCCAGGTTGGATTTGCAAAACTAGAGCTACACCAGGTTTGCAAGCCGGCCCAGAGCATGGCATTGGCGGTTTGAATGCCGGGCTTCGGAAGCAGGCCTCCATTGCAGAGCCGCGGCCTTACCGCCCCTCTTTTGCGAAACAAGTTGGTAGTGATTGACGTGTTATGGGCTCTCAGACGCTCGAAGCCGTCGTGGGGTTATGCAGCCTTCACATCGACCTCCTTCGCGATTGTCGGGGCTGCTGTTAAGCGACATCGCAAGGCCTTGCTGCAGACAGGCTTCTCGTGCAGAGACAGGCATTATTGGGCAATGTTTCTGGACAGGCGCGGACGCCAATGCACCAAAGCAATGCGGCCAAGGAGAGCACTTTTATCTTCGCTCAGCTCAACAAAAGTGAAGCAAATGCGTTGAGCATGTTTGACCACGATAGATGCGTTCGTCAGTGAGTTCACCGAGGAGAGCCAGCAGTCAATTTCGCAGCTGGTTTCCGAAGATCGCATGATAACACTTCAGGACGTTGCCGTTACCGGGGAGTCTGCGCATTTTTTGAAAAGTCTTGTGTCCTCGCCAGTGCACGCAAAGAGGAATCGCAGATTCGGTATGCCGGAGCAGCCATTCTTGCGTTGGTCGGGGTCTACAAGCGCCTGGTCCTGTCTTCGTTGCCATGGGTTCGGTGCACATTGCATAGCAGACTTGGCAACAGAGGTATGTTGGCATGGCTGCCGCTGGAAGCTTCAACTATGCTGCAATTGCGGCGAACGCAGCCTTAACCTGGGGCGTTTTTGAATCCGGACGTCAATCCATCTGAGGCGACCGGTCTCCGCATTGCTAAGAAGTGCTTGAATTCACTCTGCTGCGGGTCTGTGCCAATTTCTATTGAATCTGGGGATGTTGAGAGGCAGTGTTCTCACACGACTTTGACAAGTCTCCACAGTGTGCTGAGGCTGCGTCTTGGCGCTTCGCTGGAGCCTTGACAAGCCCTTTTCTATGACTGAACCACCTGCAGAGTACAAAGGCTTCCTGAGCCAGAGCCCTGGCAGAGACCAGCACCGTTCTTGTATGTGGGCGTGTGTGCGTGTGTGCGTGTGTGTATTTGTTTATTTTCAAGTTGAAGTTTAACTTAGGGAAAGCGCAGGAATCCCGGCCAAAATGACATGTGACAAGATCCGAGCGCAGTGTAAACTGAACAGGTGCGTCGCGAGCTTGTGTATGAAGAATCAGAGGGTGACGTGCCTTTCGTTCCATGTGTTGCCCCGTTTATGGTTTGGGAATGGGAATCGAGCCTTGGTCTTTTCTGTGCTTGTCCATCCAGCCAAGCAATGACCAGCACACGCTGCACAGCTCTCATCACTCACTCCGGCTATCTCCAGCTGCATACGCCCTCTACTCTGCCAAGAAAGATGGTAAGAAGTCTGAATAGGCACCAGCTGTGACGATGCTGAATTTGAAGATTGGGGCGGCCATTCAGTGTAAGAGTTTTGCAAAACCAGGCTTTTTTCTTCTCAAAATCTTCACAAGTCCAAGGTCTCTTTGCTCTGGTGATATTTGAGTTGCCTGCATCTTGTAGCATCCGCAGATCGCATCTGGGCCCAGCCCACGAGAAGCAAACACCATCAAGCAGCCTGCAGCTGGTGCACGTGGCCGAGCTTAAGCATCGGCGAGTTCTTTCACTAATGCTGCGATTGCAAAATGCTCCGCACAAGTGAGGATGTTGATGGGCCGAGGACCCGCGAGAGCGCAAGTTTCAAAGCCGGCTGCCGAAGTTCAACATAGTGTGTGCATTCTCGCGATCAGTTGGCAGGCTTGATGTGCCATCAAGCAGTATAACAGCCGACAACAGACAATTGAAGATGGCCCTCGAGCTAATAGCGTTTCCAAGCTCAAGAATTGTCGCCAGTTCCCACCGGCCACGGCAGACAATGCAAGGCAGTCATTGAAATACACAAACGGTGTTCCAAGTCAGCGGGGGATGTCGGGACATAACTTTCGCTCACAGCTACAGTAGCAAGACACAGCCCTTCGCCAAGGAAGCGTCAGCAAGCTTTGGAGCTCGGCGGGCCCTGCGCGCTCGTCGGCGGGCTTGTGGCAACTCTGGCTGCCGCCGTTAATGGCCAGTTGGCAGACGCAGCTGGCTTCTCAGTCCGGTTGATGCATCGCTACCATCGGTGTTGGTAGGCTAAACTTGTACACTTGCAGGGAAGAGCATGCATTCATCCGGTGCCATCGCGCGTGAAGACTGAGCCAGCAGCACAGCTGCGTAAGAGAACGTCCTGCACTTCCAAGAAAGTTGGGTATGGAATCGGCTGAGAGACACGTGCTGAATCTTGATTAGGTCCCTTGTGGCCCTAGGTCGCGCGGACAATCCACAGCACACAAGATGGATACCCGGTGCAAACCAAGCCGTGCATATCGCAGACTGAGGTGCCGGCACTGCAGGGCTGCCTTATTTTCGGCGTGGTTTCCGTGGCAATCGCGCAAATTGCTAAAAGGTTCTTACCCAAGGACTAGGCTGTGAGAGCCTAGTTGTGGCTTCCGGCAGCCTGTGCACTGCCATCATTTTCAAATTTTCGCTAGTGGACAAACCAGACCGACGCCCGAATGCCTGAGTAAGGATACTTGAGGATGTCCGGTACTCGAGACACTGGTTTGAACCCTGGTCCGGAAAAGTCTCGGGCAGTGAGTGCCCTGTTGGCTGGAGCCATTGTTAGGGTTTTTGGGCCTTTTGAAGGTGGTGTCGCTCTTGCATGCACTGCATGGAATGGCCCAGTGACCTCGGCGGAAGTGGCCTGCCAATTGCGGATGCAAAGCTTCCCTACGGAGCAGTGCCCGCCAAGCAAGCAGTTCAAACTCCTCGGCCCGCAAATGCGCGCCGAACATCTGCAAACAAGGTGATTTCATCGTGCATGGTGCATGTCATATGCCACGAAGTCATGACTGTTGAGCCTGTTGAGCTGCCATCGGCTGTAGCTTGGCTCACAGATGGCCCGCTGCCATGAACACGGCCGAACCCAGAGGCGCTTTTGGGTGTTGAGCGGTAGGGTGCGCGCTCAGTCTGGGAAGCCTGACCATGTATCGTGAAGCTTGCAGGATGTGCTTTCGGTATCCTCAAACTCTTGGAAGCCTGGTGGCCTGATCGTGGAGCCTTGCGCCACGCGCATGAAGAGCGGCTTGGACAGACAGGCTGAGTGCTTCTTTGTTTGTTTCTGCTCTGGGGCCATGAACTCAACTACTAGAAGGATTCCCAGCTTTGCGTCACGCGCTGTACTAGGACCTTGAGGCCTTGAGCTGCTAGACCCGCTGTCGTGCGCGTTAGGACCGTTAGGACATCGTAGAGAGACGAATGACATAGCTTTTGCCTCGAGCTTCAAGCTTTTAATATCTATAGTTGCCCTAATCACCAGTTTAAAGCGGTCTCTCACCTAGATTCTTTTGTCATGTCGTCGCTGAATAGTTAAAGCATGCCGCCTCATTTGCACCTTGGGCCTGAGAGAACTTCACCGTCACCTCTTGAAAGTGCTCAATTCTGGTGCTGGGCGAGTCCGCACAAGAAGCTTTGCTTTTCACTCACTGCCATTGAAGCAGATAAGGCACCCATAGGCACCCCAATTTTTGACATTCTACACTCTGGTCCAATGCAGCTGGCCCCGTCGGCCGGCCATAGTTGCCATCAGGATGTCACAAACCTCCATGGGGGTTTGTGCATACTTGGAAGCCTTTGACCCAGATGGCGGCCTTCAACCTGACAGCGCGCACTTCCTCACCTCTCCACGCCCATCTGGACGAAGCGTATTCCATCTTCAGCACAGGTGTGTCGTCGAGGAAGCACTCACCGGTGTCTGCCCGAAGGAAAGCTGCATTAACCTGTCTGACGTATCCAAGTCCAATGGCAGCTTTCAGCAGACCCTGTGTGCTGCACACAAGGTTTGGGTAGGTTTGCGGTGGGGTAGGTAGGCGAATGGCCAGCGCACACCATGATCCCCACCATGTCACTTACCACGTCATTGTAGCTTATGCGCCGAGCGTTGTGCAGCCTGTGTTTCAGGTAGTCTTGCCTTTCTGAAGGTGACCGACATCTTCATACAAGCCTTGGCTTGCGCTCTGCGCTGTCCTTTGGACCTGCTAATGTGTGCTTGGCGATCGTTCCCAGTAGCATATGAGTAGCGGTTTGCGGATCCACGGCGGAGACGCTTGCCGAGCCAATGAGATCGTGTTGCCTACGTTGCACCTCAACCAGTGGCCCCGAAAGATCAGGGTTCATGCCGTTCCCTCGACAAGAACCAGGTACATGTTGATTGCGGATACCCTGTTTCAGTAGCTGCGAAGTGGTGAAGTTCCGTCCACTCACGGACAAACAAAGCGGAAAGACACAGATGGGCACAGACCGACTCCTTCGATTGGCAGGGCGGATGCCGAGGATCTTTTTTGTCTTGTGAAAGTTCGTGCCGTCACCTTGAGGGTTAGTACGCAGACCTAAAGCAGCCAGACCCGCTTCGAAGTGAAAGCATGCATCCGATGTCGATTTTTTGCAGTTCCCCAACTCCGACATACCGACGCCATGCCGACAGCGCCCTCAGGTTTCCACAGCTCTGCAAATATTCGTCGCTTGTTGATTCTGAGCCGATCAATGCAGCTTGGCTTGAATGACAGCCAAGAAGTGCCTTGCAATTGCGACGCGCTTCATGTAAATTAGAGATACCATGGTCTTGGGCAGCTGCCCAGGCACGCTACCTCCAGGACTCGCGCTTAGATTCATGTGAGCAGGCAGGGTCGAGTGTTTTACCAGCGCGTTGCCAGACAACCGGCGACGTGTTACAAGCCTACAGGTCCTACCGAACAGCAGCAGGCTATTGAATGCAGCGGCCTAGCGGCATTTCAGTGTGGGGTCCAGGGTTTGCGTCGCTTCTGTTTGACGTGCCTGTGCAACCTGATCGCTTGTGGAGGACAATTTTGCAGCTGGCGACTTTGTCGTGCTTGGCAACACTGTCAAAGCTGAGTTCAAGGGTGCTGCAGCAATCATCCTGGATGTCACGCCACTTGATTGTACAGTGGCTGTCTTGGACCCATCGCGAACTTACAAGATTGGGGAATGCCAAGCAAATTTCCGCGCCATGCGTACGATTCACAGAGACTGGCGTCTTGGAACTCGCCATGTGATCGGCGGTCTGCAAAGCAGCAAGATGCAACACCTCAACGGCTTAGTTGCAACGGTTCGAGAACATCGGCGATATGGCCATCCATGCTTTCTTCTGAAAGAGGGAGGGAAACAGGGAGACAACAGGTTGCGCCTTTGTGTGAGATGGGAACTTGCGAATGACGTACGGACGAGCACAGGCGCCTTGCTTCTGGAGCCGCGTTTCCTGTCGCTGTATGTCAGGGAACTACAAGGCCCACCCGAAGGCACTCCACAAACGCATGGCACCGAATCCCGTGTTGAATGTCGTGAAGAAGCCGCTCCGACTCCGAACACACTCCTCACATCCAAGCGATGTCCGTGCCTGGAAGCTGTTGAGGGCAAGCACCGGTCTGTCGAGTTGTCCTCCACATTGCAAGCAATTGATGAGATGGAGCCGTCCAGCCATTTGACCAAGGCCAGTTATATGATTACATGCTCGCCATGCAAGGGCACTAGGCATATGTACGTGTTCGCCCATTGCCTCCAAGACCATGCATGTCACATGTCATGACACCGTACATCACCATAAGCTTTGCAGGTGGAGAATCCAGAAGGCCCTTTGGCAGTGCCAATTCCAACTTGCACGGGTGGATTCCTGGGCATCTTGTCCTGGCTTGTCGGAGCGTCCGAGCCACAGTTGAAGGATCCGACTGCCTGTTTCGCCCGGTGAAGTTGCATACCGTGCATGGCGAGGCACACTCGGCACGTGGAGGAGGAGTTTCCAACTGTGATTCGTTTGTCGTCAGTTTTAGCAGCAGCTGATCCACTACCCCGCGAGCAGCTGCATGATTTGATTGGTGTGGCTTGCAGCTATCACGGCGGCAACGCCAGCATGTTCAGGATGCTACATTGCACTCAGGCTGTCATGGCTACTGCCCATAGCCGAGATGAGCACTGGTACTTATGAAGATTCTGAATTGATCTCTGATCCTGCTGCGTGCAATTACGATAGTGAGGGAAGCAGAGGGAGAGAAGCAGGTAGAAACACTGTTTGGAGTTCTTGGGGACAAGCGGGGGCTCATCTAGGTAGTGTTGGCATTGGGCCCCGAAAGGAAGGCACCAACGAGCGACTTCAAGGCAGCGACCTGCAGCCAGGCCAGCCCGATCAGACAACCTGAGTGCAAAACACATGCAAAACAGTGCAGGGACTGTTCAATTGCACCAAGGCACACAGATGTGTTGATCAATCGAAAGAATGTTAAGTTGCACACCTTTTGTCTCTGTCCCTCCTTCACCCCCTCACTCCCTATCTCTCTCTGTCTTCCTTTCATGTCCCCTCTGTTCCTCTCTAACTCTCCCTCGCCTTTCCCCTGACATAAAGGGTTGTACTTTCATGCATACATGCAACAGATGCAAACAAACAGCAGTATCAGAAACTTGAATATGAAGAAAAGAGCAAATGCATAGAAAACTAAGCAGTCGAGAAATCAGTATGGACAGGCCGATAGACAGGTCCGTCGTGCTTGCGTGCGCACGTCCTTGCTGGATGCTTGTCGGCCTGGTTGGCGGGCTGGGTGACGGAGATGAGAGGAGGGGTGGTCGGGCGGTCGGGCACATGTTGCCACGAGTGATCGTTGTGATCCAGTGAATTACAGTGATACGTGACAAGACTCAGTTGCGATTTTTTTCAGGCGATCTCGTCATCTTGGACTGTGCTCCATCCAAGTTCCACAGGTGCCCGGCAGTGGTCACAGGCGCTTTCAGAAAACGACTGTGGATGGAAAAGTGATGGAAGAGTGAATTTGGTTTGTGTGGTTTATGAAGCTTTCTATGGCCTCCAATGGGTTTCTGTGTACAGGTGTTGATGCATCAAGCTGCTCACTTGCCGTTCTGGACGACTCCCGAAGCATCTTTGTCGGTGAGCCCTGGCCTCAATCGCATGCTTACCTTCCCGGCCACTGTGCCCGGCTGTGCCCTCTCCTAAACTGCGACAGCTTCTCAGGTGCCGTGCAAACCTTTGGGAAGTCATGCCCGTGCACTCAGAGTGGCGACTGGGCACACCAGTTGTGCTTGGTGGCTTGCAGAGCAGAGCCTTGGATGACTTTTGGATGACTTTTGGGCGTCTCCTCATTGGCCACATGCTTCCCTGACTTCTTGGTTTTTTCTTCGGTCGCGGCTCTAGATAGAGATACCACGACTCGGATGAGTGGCATGAGAAAGTCATTGCATCTATCGGGGACTGTACAGAAAGTCTCCATGCCTCAAACATAGTGTCTTCAAATCCTTGGCAATATCGGCACAAGGTCCCCTTTACTATCCTAGGATATCTTGAGGAAGCTCGATGGAAAGGCCAGTGCGCTGCAGCCACCTGGGGTCCTAGAGATCTCAGGTGGTAGCGGAGCACTTGGTGGGAGGCTTGGATTCCAGGCCACCCCGGTGCGCACAGTCTTCGCTTTGGAGTCGAGCTGATCATGAATGTTCAGGGAAAAGAAGAGGAGAGGCCTAAGCTAGAGAGGTTTGACGGGACGCAGCCAGCAACGTATCGCAAGTGGAGAAGAAAGGCGGAGTTGATGTTGCTGGCCTTACCGACCACCTACTCGAAGGATCGATGGGGTGCCAAGCTGATGGAGTTTCTATCGGGCGAAGCAGAAGAAGTGTGCGAAGGCATTGCGCTCGAGAAGATCATCAAGGAAGGTGGCCACGAAATCATCTTCGAGACTTTGGATGGTCGCTACAAGGACTTGCAGAAGGACGCCTTGCAAAAGCACTTGACGGAGTACTTTTATGGGACAAGCATCAAGGCTGGAGAGAGCTACAGGAACATGACCATTCGCCTGGAGACAGCATACCGCAGACTGCAAGAGCACAAGGTGGAGCTGCCAGATGAAGTGAGAGGCTGGTTCCTGCTGCGAAAGCTTCAGCTGGAGTCTCAGGCAGAGGCCATGGTGCTCACCCATACTCGTGGGTCCCTCAAGTACGCAGACGTGAACAGTGCAGTGCAAGCGATCTTTCCACAAGGATGTGCTAAGACTGGTGGGGGCAAATCTCGAGAAGTGTTTGAGACTGAGCTCCTCGAGGAACCTGGCGAGACGAACCAGGAGACGGATGAGCTGGATGGAGACGACGTGTTCCAGGTCATCGCCGACCAGATCCAGTCCCAGGAGACCTACGACGACGAGGAGGCGATCGAGGTGTTTGAGTCCTACCAGGACATCCGGCGGAAAATGCAGCAGAAGAAGATGGCCCGCGGCTACAAGGCAACAGGCACAGGATCGACATGGACTTTGTCGGGGACAGTGCGTGGCAAGATTGAGCAGCTCAAGGCGCGGAGTCGTTGCCACATCTGCCAGGAACGTGGACATTGGAAGCGGGAGTGTCCAAAACGTAAGCCCGGAGGAGCACAACAAGCAAGTGGAAAGCAGAGTCAGGCAAGCGCAAAGACCAGTCAGACCAGCGAGGCCATGATCATGGACAGTGGTGGTGGCAGCGCCATGGACAATCTGAACCAAGAGTACTTCCTCGAGGCAGAAGACATCGTCAAGTTGGACACCTTTCTGGCAGAGCAATGCGGCCAGAGGGAGGGTGGCCCAGCAGGCTTAGATGTCCTGCATGCTGATGGCGAAGAAGTGAGAGGGGATCTTGGGCAGAGTGTTTTTGAGTTTTTCCAGAAGCAAGGTCACGCATCGGGCAGCGAGGCATACATGGCCGATCTTGCTACTCATGGGGTTCCAGACACTGCCTGTAGACGAACACTCATAGGTGAAGCAGTTCTACAGCGCATGTCTGAAGTACTGGGAAGGGTTGGGCTGCAAGTTAGATTCGTGAGAGAGAGGCATGAGTTCAAGTTTGGCAATGCCGGGTTGATTCAGACGGACAGAGCAGCCATCATTCCAGTACGGTTAGGAAGCCGACAGCTAGCAATAAAGGCAGCTGTGCTGCCTGGTAGTGGCTCTGAAGCTCCACTGCTTCTTTCCAAGGAACTCTTAAGGGGTTTAGGAGCTACCTTGGATATGGGGAGTGATACTGTTGATATCACGAAGTGTGGGGTTAAGCTTAAGCTTCATGAAACGGAACGAGGGCATTATGCCATTCCTCTCTTCGAGGGTATGGGGATTCACGGCAAGCGTGAGGTGACACAGAATCAGGATGTGAAGACGCACATGAGAGATGACGCCGAGATTTTTGGTTCACAAAAGTCGCCGCCGGTAGCCGTGCATCTTGCTGAAGGAGATCAGCGCCATGAGCTATCCGAGCACCGATGTGGAGATGCAGGGCGCGAACAACTTCGTTCAGACCCCTCTGATTGCCGGCTTGATTGCCGAGGTGCAGCCGCAGTTGGAGGCGCAGGACCAGGTGGAGCTGAGTGCGTCGATCCTGGATCAACTATCAGATCACGAAGAAGACGCGCCAGAAGGGCTCGTGCCAGGGCTAACAGGGCGAATCATCTTCAACGTCGGGAAGTATCAGAAAGCAGGCGCAGCGGTGAACTTTGCGACGTCCTATCTCACCGACAAGAGCTACGTGGCGTGGGTGCGGAAGTTCGTGAAGTCAGGCCCAGATGCAGCGGGGAAGTCATCGCATCCGACAATGACACAGTTCCGACTGTACGTGGCCTTGAGAGATCAGCGCAAGTCGCAGAGAATCCAGAGAGGGTCGGAGCCAGAACCAGCGCTGACAACACCGTGTCGCACAACGAGAGCAGTGACCGCAATGAACTTGGGAGCATCCCCCAAGGCGAAGAGCAGTCCAAAGCCGAAGCCATCGCCCACAACAAGGCGTACAGTTACATCGAGTCGAAGCCGCCAGAGTGCAGACAGGGCAGATGTGACGGAGCTAGAGACCGAGCATGCGGAGACTCCTTGGTTGCTGATGCCACATCCAGAGGAGACAAGGATGTCGCGCACGGAGAGCGAGAGGCGCCGCCAGTTGCTGATGAGTCAGATCGAGGCCCTGCACCTCGAGCTGGAGCGCCTGAACGAGGAGGGCCAGGATTAGCCGATGGTGAGGTCTCAGAACCCAAGCGCATGAGCCAGGGTGAACGGAAGCTGTGTAGGCGTGGCATAGCCAGATGCAAGGACTTAGAGAGCGGCGTGTGTGAGGTTCAGGGTGGCATGGATGTGTTGCTGTTGGAGGGCAGTGAGGAGCTGTCTATGATCACGGCAGTAGGCCTGAGCTCAGACTATATTTTTGCACAAGGCGAACTGTCGTCCAGTTCCCTGTCTTTAGGCGATTGTGTCAGCCATGCCATCGAGAAAATTCGGCAATGCAGACCCCAAATGCTAGTCATTAGAACCCCAAAGTGTCTGAGCGGTGGAGTGCACAAACGCAGCAAGCAGTTGGTGCGTGCAAGTCAACGGCAATGTGCATTCACGAGGTTGGTTGCTGCGTGCTGTAGCGAGCAGTTGTGTGAGGGTAGGCTGTTCTGTGTGTGGGATGAAAGTGGAATCTTGCAGAGCGGTGTGAAACGTTGGTGCAAGGTTGTTGCCGAAACCGAGGTGTACAGCATGAAAATAGGAACGAGTGGCAGCGTGCACACTAACAGTAAAGAAATCAGGCCGAGAATGAGGCAAGGTGAGACACAGAAACACAACGCAGAGGCTGATGATGCGGCATCCACGTGTATGAAGTGTGTAGCGGTTGCTTTGCTTGATCGAAAGCGCGCGCGTCTTGAGGTGCATGCTTCCCACTGCGTGTTTACCATAGAAGAGTTGAGAGAGAGTGGAGAGGAGAGCGAGAAAAAGGTCATGTCATTGCTTCGAAAGTGTCATGAGAATCTGGGTCATCCTTCTCCTGCTCGTTTGGTCATGTTGTTGAAGTCGGCGCATGCAAGTGAGAGAGTTCTGAAATTGGCTAGAGGTCTTGAGTGTGAAACGTGTAGCGCTTTGAGCCGTCCCAAATCCCATAATGTGACTAAGATGCGCAGGGCTACGGAGTTCAACCAGCAAGTGTGCATTGACACGTTTGAGCTTGATGTGAGACATGCTAAAGTGCATTTCTTGAATATCGTTGATGAGGCCACCGGGTTTCAGATGTGCACTCCGTTGTGGAAGGGTATGCAGGCTAGACATGTGCGAAACGCATATCGCAAGTCATGGAAACGATGGGCCGGGCCTCCTGTGAGACTGTTCTGTGACGGGGGCAAGGAGTTTGAAGGGGAGTTCGAACATGGGCTTTCGTTGGATGGCACTTTTAGCGACGCGTCGGCTGCATATGCTCCATGGCAGAATGGACTTGTGGAAAGAAAAGGGGCTGTTTGGAAAGCGGCTTATTCAAAGGCTCAGATGGAGACGTATCCTAGAAGCAAACAAGAAACCCAAGAGCTCATTGATCAGGTCAACAATGCTGTGAACAGTATGTCACGTGTTGAAGGGTTTTCGCCTTTTCAGCATGTGTTTGGTAGAGATTTGAGGGTGCCTGGCATGATTAGTTCCGACTATGATCCGGTCATCAACTCGTCGCTGGCGCAGGGTGAGAGTGTGTTTGAGAGAAGAATGGAGCTGAGAAAGGCAGCAAGAAGGGCCTTCCTTGATGCTGATGCCGAGAACAAGTTGCGCAAGGCAATGGAGCATCGGAATCGTCCTGAGAGGGGTCCTTTTTCTGAGGGTCAGCTGGTGTATTTTTGGAGAAAGAGTCGATTTGAAACCAGGCATCATTGGCATGGACCGGCTGTTGTGATAGGGAAGAGCGGTAGCTCCAAAGTTTGGGTAGCTAAGGGAACGAAGGTGTACCGATGCTGCCCTGAACAGCTGCGAAGTTTATCGCCCGAGCAAGAGGCCATGATTAGATTGCTGCCAGCTGATATGGTGCATGTACGCAATGAGGTCAGTGCGAAGGGTGCTGGGAACTTTTATGATTTGAGCATGCTTGACAAGCCACCAGATTCGCACGTAGAGGAAAGATCTGAGCAGGACCAGCGTGAGAACGCAGTAGCAGCTCCTCCGATGGACTTGGTGTCAGGGCATGAGAATGCAATAGCATCTCCCCCGATGCAGTTGGAGTCAAGCCCGGATCAAGCAGTTGAGTTGGCCGTGCTCCCTGAACAGCGCCCTAGGCGTGAGGATCCTAGAGATGATGATGCTGGAGACGTCTCTCCAAGCAAAAAGCAAAGGGTCGAGCCTGAAGTGACGCCCTTGACGCGTGCTATGCGTGCAAGTACGGAGTTGCTAGACCATGGTCGTAGATTGAGCGCGAGAGCTGAGTCCTCACAGAGGCCTTCTGAGATCCCTGTGCCTGAGGACGATGAAGATGATCTTGAAGTGATCGTCGTTGAGGGTCAAGATCATTGGGTGATTGACCATTCGCATTCTCGCTTGGTGCGTGTGCATGTTGTGGAAAGATGCGTGCCTTGGAGTCCGTCTGACCATGAGTTGCCTGTTCGCGTGGAAGATGTGGAGTTGGTCTGTCAGTCTGTGATGTATACCAGAAGTGGTGAGCGACACACGCGTGATTACGAATGGCGCAACGTGATGCGCGAATCAAGTACAGGGGTTGGAAAATGGACAGGGCAGACTGTGTTTCAGCTCAAGCCAGGTTGGTCGCGACAAAGTGCATCATCGATCGAGTGCTTTGAGGTTGGTGCAACGAAGAAGGGCCGAAAAGAAGTCATTGAGTCCGAGCTGAGTCAAAATCAGCAAGCGGGTCTGAAGAAGGCCAAGCTCAAGGAGTGGAACAAGTTGTTGAAAAGTGGAGCGATTGTTGTTCACACGGGTCGCAAGGCAGCTCAGTTGAGGAAGTCTGTGCCTCGAAAGCGCGTCTTGAAATCGAGATTTGTTGTAACTGAGGCTGAACAGGGATCACACCCTGACACGTGTGATTTGAAGGCCAGATGGTGCATTCGAGGCTACCTTGATCCAGATGTGTTGGAGCTTGATACGAGCGCTCCAACCTTATCCGCAGAAGGATTCGCAGTCGCAATGCAACTAATCGCGAGTCATGGCTGGCAATTGACAATTGCCGATGTTGAGGGTGCATTTTTGCGAGGTGACAACTTGAGTCCACAGCGCGGAAGATTGTTTATTGACATGCCTCCAGGTGGAATCGAGGGCTACGATGATCAGTGTCTTGTTGAGGCAATCAAAACAGTGTATGGGCTTGCCGATGCTCCGAAAGCCTGGTGGAATTGCTTCAGTGGCAAACTCAAAGACCTCAACATGCAAATGTCGGAGTTTGACCCATGCGTGTTTTATTACTACCACAGCGGCCGACTAGAAGGAGTGATCACACTCCATGTAGACGATTTATGCATGGGAGGAAGTCTCAAATTCCAACAGTCTGTGCAGCAGCCACTTAGGCAGCTGTTTCCTTTCAAACATTGGAAAACACAACAGGGAGAGTTTTTGGGCAAATGGCTTGAACAACAAAGCGATGGGAGCATCAAGATTTCTCAAGAGCAGTATGCTAGTTCTGCGAAGGGCATCGAGATTTCTAAAGAGAGACGTCGTGAGAAGAGTGAACTTGTGGACGAGAGTGAGAGACAGCAGATGAGAGCTGCCCTGGGGGGCATCAACTGGTTAGTCAGTGGCAGTCGCCCGGACTTAGCTGCATGGTGTTCCTTGATGCAGCAGCGAGTCAATTGCGCATGCGTCTCTGACCTGATAGAAGTGAACAAGCTGTTAAGCCTGGCTCGCGATCATAGCAAGTCTTACATATGGGTAAAGCCCATTCCAGTAGATTCAGTTCAGTTTAGCGTGCTCACCGATGCTGCCTGGGCCAATGCTCAAGATCACTGCAGTCAGGCTGGCTACATGATTGCCGCGTGTGACAGTCGACTGTCAGCGGGTCAGTGGGGAGTGTTCTCTGTCATGAGATGGAGAAGTTACAAACAAGACCGCCAGACGCATTCAACATTGGGGGCCGAGCTCCTAGCCTTATCCCGAGGCTTGGCAGAGGCTCGATGGGTGCGTTCTATGTGGTGCGAAGCCATATGCGAAAGTTACGCGCTGCATGAGGATCTAGCCTTCAGTGTCAAAGTGCCCATCACAGCAGTCATTGACTGCAAGCCTGTCTTCGATCATGCCAAGAGCTCCACAGTATCCATCAAAGACAAGAGAATGGCCATCGAAATGCTGCTCTTGAAGAAAGACATAAGCAAGTATGGCATCAGTCTGAGATGGATGGCAACGAGTCAGATGATCGTAGATGTGCTCACGAAGCGAGGGGCACCGATGGCCTTGTTCCGACAAGTCTTAAAGGAGGGTTCGTTTATTCTTGTTGAGGATGAAGCAGTGAAGCTGTTGACTTCTAAGAAGTCAACCAATGTTTGAGCATGCAACCTCCGGGATGTGAGAAAGTCATTGCATCTATCGGGGACTGTACAGAAAGTCTCCATGCCTCAAACATAGTGTCTTCAAATCCTTGGCAATATCGGCACAAGGTCCCCTTTACTATCCTAGGATATCTTGAGGAAGCTCGATGGAAAGGCCAGTGCGCTGCAGCCACCTGGGGTCCTAGAGATCTCATGGCAGAAATTATTCGCAGCTAATTAGCATCAAGCTGTACATGGACTCATCAGGTGCGCCAGGTTTTTGAAGTGATTGTTTGAAGATCCCTTCGGATGTGCATACTGGACTCTGCAATCTTGCAGGCAAAGTTTCCAAACAGCAAAAATTTTGAGATCTGCAGAGGCTCCTAAGTTTCGAGAAGCCAAGGGGCTGTAACTTGCATATGTACTTCTCTTGTGATGTCAATCTGATATTTCTGCTGGTTGATTTCAAAACAAGACCATGTGCTGCGGGTACGTGCAGGCACTTGACGTTGCTTCGCTTAGGTGCCCAGGGGACGACTGCATGGCAGAAAGCACTGGGGTTTAAGGGGTTTCAGCATCTGCGCATCCAGCGACTGACGAGCGCAGCCCATTGTAGCCCAGGCCACATGACACACCTCAATGGATTGTCCGCTGTAATTTGCCCTCACAAACGCCACGGCCATCCATGCCTCTTGACTGAGCTTAAGCCCGGCTGTACAGGAGGACGGATGGACTGCACACCTCGAGCAGCTCAGGTTTTGTTCAGAAGCCTAGTTCACCCAATACTGGCGATTGGCTCACGCTTTGCATCCGGTTTGATAACCCAGAGAAATCTTCGATGCATGCTGTGCTGCTGGAGCCTCGCTTCTTATCACCATGGGATAGCCGATCTCTGCAGTCGCATGGCTGCACGTGGTTGGAAGTTTAGTGGAAGTTTAGGCTCAGACGAACACTGAGTCTGAGAGCTCTTCGAGGAGATTCTTTGTATTCAGCAGCTACAGGTCTCCATCGGAATGCTTTACGCCGTCACGGCTGTGAGCTTAGTTCAAGTCTCAAGTGACAAGCTGTGAAGGGGCGTTGGAATCGTTGGAATCCGCAGGGCCGCCTGCCGGGCAATCTAAGGTCGAGCACACCCAGCGGCTCAGTACAAAGTTCCGCGTATGCTCGGCAAAATTCTCTGGCATCTCAGGGCTCATATGGCTCTTTTGGGTCGTATGGGTCCAAACAATTTTCCAGCTCTCAAGGCTCCGAGATAGAGCATTTCCGAATTGCTCTCAGAAATGCATATGGCAAAGTCATTGCTGAAATGCGCAAGGCAGCCACGGGAAGCGCCCGCTGCAAAAGTCGGTGAGCCTTCAAAGTCACAAGGTTCAGCAGCAGACACTTGGTACGAATCGGAAAGATTTTCGTCTCTGTGCTCGTCAGTGCGGGCTGCCATATGTTGGGCTGACGGTAGTGTCTTGGAGAAAACAGGCCGACGGCCCTGATTCGAAGTCTGTCCTCCTCCACTGCGACTGGAAAGACATGGAGTGCCAAGACTGTGAAGAGACAAATCTCATCACCGTCCACGACATCAGGCGAGGATCGGAGCTTGGATGGGAGGGCTTCTTCTGAGTCTGATACAAAAGGCCTTAAGGCAGTTAAGGCCCCATCATGTCACTGGTTTCTTGCTCACGTTGTCACATGCAAGGTGAGTCTTGCCGAGAGAGGATGCCCGAGGTTGAGCTCATGAAGGAACTCCGGGAGCTGAAGGACGCAAAAAAGCGCAAGAAGACACACACGCACAAACACACACACATGCACACACTGACTGATTGAAAGCAAGAGAGGGAGAGATCTGATAGAGCGGGGTTAGTGCATTTTGACCTAACATTTCGTCCTGGAGGAGTCCTTGAAAACCTTGGCCAAGGAATGCAAGGAAGGCAATTCTTAATGTTCGCTGATGTTGGGAGTTGCAGCGTTGCTTGAGCGCTCACGTTTTCAGCACATGCAGAGCACTGTTACAGGAATTCGCTGTAGGCTAGGCTCGTGTCAGGCTTTGCTCCTGCTAGAATGCACTTTCAGAACTCCGCTTCCGAGCAAAGGCTGACAGGCTCAAATGCTCGCTGATGCAGGGCATGAATTTCGACCTGCACTTGCATCATCTCCCCTTGTCGGGGCCATTGAGTTTTCTGGTTTCGGCCTGTGCCATCAAGAAGCGCAGTGCAGAAACCTGGGATGCGACAGACCTTTAAGCTTTCTAAGCTTTCTAAGCTGCCAGCAATAAGTGGTCACAGGAGTCACAGGCGTGCGATACGAGTCTTGACTTAAAGGCCCCGGTCGCAAGCAAAGGGTGCCAACAGTGCCCCTGTGAGTGACATCGATGCGTCCTTTTGCGTCCCATACTGCAACCTTCCCTGGCGCCGACGGTTTTCCATGGCAGGCTGAATGGCATAGTCACGCTAGAGCAGAGGAACCATCAGGAAGTTAGCTCCGCCTCACAGTACAGCCTGCCCGAAACCATAGGTTGAAGACGCTGCCAGAAAGCAGGGCGCACCTGCAAGGCGAACAAAAGTTGCCCGCCGTGCTGGGTGGTGTGCTTATTGTGATTATTCAGAGCATGTGTACAGGCAGGCACCTTTTCAAACGACGCCGGAAGCTTGCCATCAACAGGTGGATACATGTGGACTGTCCATACAACATTGGATCTGCACACCCTAGCTAGCTTCTGCATGCCACGATAAGCAACTGCCGCAGATACCGCCTTCCACAGGCGTCCAAGGTCATGTGCATCAACATGCTGTCGGAATGGCGTTTCAACAGTCGGATTTGCCGCCGCCGCTGCCCTTCGCTCACCCGGCAGACCTGGTGCGAGCACACCAAAAAGACGAGCAGTGCAGAGGCTACGTGGCTGCACGTTGCCTAAATTCTTGATGTAAGGATGGTAAGAAATCATGTCTCCGACATGGGGTCGTTCCCCGAGGTGAGCTGCGCCGCCTGGTTCTAGACGCGGTTGAAGAAACTTTCGGCCGCAGAGCAGCAGGATGGCAGTCGACAGCTGGAGCCTCGCGCTGAACAAAGTACAAAGCTTGGCTCTTCTGGCCCCCATGTGTCGCAACAAAAAAGAAGAGCAAAGAAGGGCTGTGATGTGTGTGTTCGTGGAAGTTTACGTAATCTGATTCCGGTGGGGAAAGACAGGGCAAAAGCACGATGGATAATGGTAACGAATGTCAGCTTTGCCAGAAGGAAGCTGCCAGATTTCGGATGATGCGCTGGGTATTTTCACATCTCTTGCAGGAGCAATCGCTGACTACATTTACACACTTTCTGCTGCAGTCCTGGCCGGCAACTCGTTGGGTGAAGAGCGGCTTGGAGTTGCAATGAGTTGCACAACATGGTGGTCCTGCGAATGCCCAACAACAATGTGCAGTCATGTGCTTACCTGTGATTTTGGACTTTTGACCTCTTTCGGACACTTGCCTGAAGTCCTACCCTGTGAATCCCCAAGGTACTGCGAACTGCTTTCGGTATCACCGGGGCTTCAGCCCACCAACTGGCCACTGGCCAAGCCATGAGACCATACGAGAGCATGTGCAGGGAGGCTCAAGAAGTGTGTTCTAGCAACTTTGACAACGATGACACTCAGACAATGCACGGATGAGGCGACGACGGCTTGCTGCTTCAACTCTCGGCGCATTTTCGCCGGCCGTTCAAGCAAGACTGCCGCAGAGGTTGGCAACCCTGGCTTCCGTGTTCGTGCCAATCTTGACACGCCACTGGCCAGCACATCAAAAGCCGCCTCAAGCCGCCTCAAGCCGCCTCAAGCCGCCTCAAGCCGCCTCAAGCCGCCACAAGCCTCGGTCACTTCTTTGTCTTTTTGTTTGGGTTTCTTCTGCTGGCTGTGCACAAATGTGGCAATTGCACCAAGAGAAGCGTCAATGTGTTTGCCAGGACTGCATTTGGCGTTTTTCTACCTCTTCGGCAGATACCACAATCTGACAGACAGGATTTTCTCACTGCGTGCCGTGAGCATGGCGGAGTATCCCTATCGAAACTTCAGCTATCGAGCGCTTGGTGCGCTTCTGCTGGCACAAGTCCTGGGCCAGGATGGGCTTCGAAACGTTGCTCGCAGCCTTAGCAAGTTCACAGCCGGTCTGCGATGTCACTCCTGACAGCATTCAGGTGGCTTTCATGGCAGTGGAAAGGTGGAGATCAAGAGTGCCACAAACGAATGCTGCAGCTTCGATGACAGGCTAGGCACCCAGAAAAGGTGATGCAGGTTGGGCATGGGCACAGGGTCGCATGTCATATATGTCATTGACCGTTGCATCACTGTTGCATCAGTTGCATTTTAGGCAGCTGGGACACGAGTCACAGCCTGGCCCCACCACGTCAAGGGCAAGACGTGCAAGCTCCTCTGTGCGGTCCACCTGCATGGAGTCTGTTTTGTGTCTTTTTTGAATTCTAGTGACTCTAGTGGTGGTCTAGGAACTAGTGAATCGCCTCTGTCTATGCCCACCGCAGCCCGCAGCGATGCAAGTTGTGCTCTTGGGTTGCTGCCAGATCTGAGATGCACGCCAGACTTTCCAGGCAACATCTGCATGTGCCCGGCTGAGACCGTGACTTCTACACCGTGTGGCCATTTGTTCTGCTGGGACTGCATTGCAAGCTGGACACTTGGTTTGAGAAGACGTTAGTTTTAACGTTCTACACAAGTCATGGGCAGTTTCAAGAGCTTCAAGCAGATGGATGGATCGCGGTACTGCGTTTGCAATGTCAATGTCGACTCCAAAATGCAGTTGCTATCCCCCTAGCGACGGCCCAACAACAGCACAGAACCAAACACGATTCTGCTCATGACCGTGCCGGAGCTTCACAGCCCAAAGATACCAAAGCTTTGGGCCGCGAGTGATAAGTAAGGCTCAGCGGTATCCAGTGCAAGTGCTCAAATCTTTTTCCGAAGCGCGGTAGTTGTGCTCCGGGGTTGCAGAGTAAGCGCTCAACTCTACTCAAGGTGACATATTCAGATTTGCCGGCAACCATAAACTTTGAAACCAGGTGCTTAATTTATCATGTGAACAAAGAATGGTTGGCACGAAGTCAATGTTCTTGTCGCCCAAGCAGCTCATGTGGCCTTAAGGGGGAGCCGAAACCATTGCCCAGCAAGCAAGGCTGTCGGGTAGTGTAGGTGCAAAGTGGTTATGTGGGACGTGGCTGTCGGCCACAAGATTCGGAAACGCAGCTGCTGAAACGAGGTGCTCTATGAAATCCTCATGCCCTCTTTGCCGGGCGGCAGCACCGCATCTCAGCTGAAAAGCTGTCAGGCTCAGTTAGGAGGTTTGCAAGATGAAAGCCTTTCTGGTGCAAGTTAGGACATGAGCTGCAGGGGAGACAGGGAAGCCACATCCCTTTCCTACCTGAGGCCGCAGAAGCTTCTGCCTTTGCTTCACTATGCCTCCACCAGAGACTGAAGGAGACGCGAGCCTTCTCACCACTCGCTGATCATGCCGCGTGCTCCGTTTCAGATTTCACCACGTGAAGTGTCAGTGGAGACCAACATGCTGTTGCAAAAAGTGCCTGTAACGAAAGCCGTGAACCTGTGGCCAGCGTCCCGAGCGAAAGCCCGGCCCGGCCCTTGTTGCCAGCGCTCACCTGTCGGGATTTGACAACGATGTGATGTCCGATGCGAGCTATGCCATTTACCGCAGGCGCTTTGGCCTTTCAGCCGGGCTAAGCTGCTGCGTGTTGGCCGCATGGCGTCGTTCAGAGTTCAGTTTACTTTATGTAGGGACTGTTGATTTCAAGCTGCCCGTGACTCAGACTAGGTAGCCCTCGGGCTGTTGAAAAGCCATGAGACACCTTCACAGACGTAAGCCACGCGTACGAAAAGAAGACACCCAAAGCATGGTCTGGCAGTTGAGGACCGACTTTCTACCATGGCTATGGAAAAGTTGACCGTATTTCTTCCTAGCTAGAATACACGTTACACATGTCAGAATTAACACTTAGCATGACACGTGTTCACATGCAGGCAAGGCGGTTCTTTCATGCTGCATCGCGCATCGCCATGGCTCGTTGCAGCTTTGCTGCAGCTGCCGCGTGCGCATCTGGCGCCGGTAGATGCCTGCCAAGGGGTGCCAGCTCCGCAGGACGAAGAGTCTTGCCCTCTTTTCTGTCAAGCCGACTCACGCTTGACCTCAAACTCTTTCTTCGGTGTGAAGCCAAGCCAAGGATTTCAAAGAACACGGGCAAGACACGTTGGGAAAGCGCCTTGCTTCACCGTGAGGCGGTGAGAGGGTGTGTGTTTACAAAGAATGGTGCCGTGTGACTCCATCCTCTGTCAGAGCAAGGAAGTTTGCCAAGTGTGCAGCTGCGTTGGATGCCGCCGGCGGGCACAACAGCGTCCTACCAAGCACGCTCGTTTTTGGCAAACCCCCAGCAACCCGGCGATGATGATGAGTTCAGCTCTTGTATGCTCTTGTAGCACGCCAAGCTGCTCACATCCAGAAAGCAGCATCCACTTCAGGACGTCTCTGCTCTAAGACCCTTTCCTGCAAGAAGAGAGAGCTTCAGAGAAAGCGCGCACGCGCGCACGAAAAGCACACACAAAAACATGTGTTGTTTCAGGGGTCGGAGGCTAAAGAGTTGCGAAGAGGACCAGAGCAGATTTTATCAGCCTTTGAAGCAGCGGCCCTCATGCCAACAAGATTGTCAAAGCCTGGAACCAAGTGTCGATCATGGATCTTGGATGAGCCGAGCTTTTCATTTTGTCCATTTTTTGGCACCCTTTGTATGGAGCCAGCTTGGAGATTTGCTGCATGTGGCACGATCTAAGGCCCCCTCGACAAACCAAATTGCAGTTCTGGAATGCGGTTTCAGGAGAGCTGACCCCTGCCTACCGGGTCTGCTTAGCTTTTCCAGAAGACCGTGAGATGGTATGTTCAAACGTGTCTATCCCCCTGTGTAGTACAACCCCGAATGTATGTATTAGTTACTGTTAGTTGTACCATGCGTGGCAGAATTGACGAGCTGCATCAGTGAAGCCAAGATGTGTCCTAGTGGCTTTGCGGGTTGAGCGGATGCAGCTGCTAGCAGATTCTGGCAGAGTGTTTCCATGGCTCCATGCAGGAAGTGCTGTTGCATCCATTGTTCCTGGTGGCGGCCTGCCAGCAAGTCAAACATGCTTGCAGTTCCACCAGCAGGATCAGATTTCCGGTGCTGCCTTTCAGAGTGTCCATTTGCTTGCAGGCACTGTTAGCACACGTTATTGTGAAAGCTCGCTTTCACTTGGAGGGAACCAAGTCGCCAGAGATGGCGCTGGCATCAGACCTGAACAAGCTCATACGAGTCGGCGCGCCTCAGCTCCAACCCTGTGAGTGGCATGCCAGGGTGTGGGATGGCGGACGACAGGGGAGGGGGCAGGGCGAGGCGGACCTGAAAGACATACAGCATGAAAACCAAAGCTGAGGCTTGCGTCCCAATCGCTTGCAGGAAGACGTTCGCAGATTTGGCCTTGCCGCGGCTGATGGACAGGGTGATGGCCAAGTTCCCCAATCGCGTATCGCGTTTGCCCAGGGTTTTTCGGCCCAGAAGCCTTCGACAGGAGTGGCGACCCGGGAGCAACGCACACCATCCCGGAGCCGGGCCCTGCGCCACAACTTCAAAAGCGAACATCCTTGAGGCAGGGTGCATCAGGTTCTGGAAGCATTGCATTCTGGTTTCCACGGACATCCAGGTTTGCTCTGATAATGGCTGACAACTGAGAATGTCTGAGAATGGAAAGATGCGATCAACCCACTCATGGCGCAAGCAGTCAGCTGAATTCTGGCGTCGCTGTTTGCTAAGCACGAAAAAGCGCGCATGCGATGCAGTCGGAGGCCAAATGCCGGCATCATTTGCACTTCAGCATCTTCTTCACCGAGTGCTACGGGGCCGTGGACGTGTGGCGCCTGATGTCCGACAAGAGCTTCTTCCAAGAGCTATTTGGTGCCCAGGTCAGACCCATGGCCGCATCGTTTCACAGTTGTGTCGGTATACGTAGTTTTTGCGCATTGATGGTCAACCTGAGTCAACCTCGGTCTACCCAGGAAGCTTACCCTTGGATTGGCCTGGCGTGGCGCGACCAGGTTCGGCTCAGGCCTCGCTAGACGTCACTAGAATGCTAGAAGGACTAGAGGGCACAAGGGTCATCTGAGGCTGAGAGTGTCGAAAGCTGCCTGAGGCGGCTCTCCAACACTACTGGAAGTGCAAAGCTGGAGGTGGGATGTACGTCGGAGCTTACTTCAATGCTGTCTCTGAACTCCCTATGGGCTACGAGTTTCCAGGATGCACCTGTGCATGGGCTGCTTTGGGTTGCTGTGGGGAACACATGGGACCACCCCGCTAGGGCCCTCAGAAATGGTTCAGAGTTCGTGATATTTCGAACGTCGGGCCACAATGCACATGTCAAAGGTGCACGCGAGACATGCAAAAAAGGGGGGTGTTGGAGAGTGAGCGGCAGTTGGAGGTCAGAGCTCTTGCATGCTTACACATTGACATTGTAATACATAGGGCTGGCCATGTCAGGGCCGTGTTTGCTCAGCTGAGGCTGGGCATGTGCCTGCCATCACTGCACACAAGCTGGAACCCTGAAAGAGAGGCGCTAGTGAAATGGTGGCTGGCCTCCCAAATGGGGACCTGGTACCCAGAGCTCGAGATAGACGCCGGTAGCCTCAAGATTACCGAGCTCGCACACCGATCGGAAATCCCGGTGGACTGGGCCATCATCGGACTCGGGCGCAGCGGCACCACCTCGCTGGCAGCTTGGCTGGACATGCATCCAAGACTGGAGCTGCTGCGCGACCGCAGCGACTCTTTCAATGAAGGCTCCTTTCAATACTTGTTCCGGCGGTCAAACCTGGAGCACCTCGTCAGTCGACAGAGCCTGCAGAGGCCCAGCGAGAGGCCCAGCGAGAGGCCCAGCGAGAGGCCAGTCAAAGGCGAGCGACGAAGCAGAAGAATCTTAGCAGGCTTCAAAGAGCCAACTCTACTGCAGTCGGAACGAGGGAGACTGATCTTGGCCGAAATGAAGCGAGTGAAGCTGTTGGTGGTCATCAAGACCCTCGTCAGAATTAGATGACTCTTAGATGCTTCTCGAGTCTCTGCTCGTGCGTGCAGCATGGCCTTGGCGATTGACTGGGCACTGTTTCGCATGACAATGGACATGTTGTGATGCAGTAGAGTTCAAGCAAGGAATTGGGCGGATTGGCTGAAAAGCCACCTGCTCTTTGCCGGGACCACTACTTGCTTTCCGCGTATTCTCGCACAGCTCCTGAGTTGCAGCTTCGGTCAGCCAGAGCCACATGATTTTGCGTTTCGAGCCAGAACGCTCAAGGGGCATGCACAGCAACCTGCAAATAAGTATTCTACAATATGCACGCATTGTGCCAAGACGGCACTTAATCACACGGCTCACGGGGCTAGGAGACACGGTTCGAGCTGCACCAGTTTAACACACGAACTCTTATCAAACATGAATGGTAATAATCGAGTTCTATAAAAGCGATTTAGCTTATAAAGTGTACCAGGTATATGTGCTCATTTATTGATACGCATAATTGAAGTCTTAATTGCATTGCCTTCTTATTTGGAAGGCATGCGCGTAGACTGCTGTCATAACTCTATCAACTCTCATATACGGTGCTTGAGTGCCACTCTTGGGCTCGGAAGTTGTTGCTAACTGCTCTCGTGGTGGTTCCTGAAGGCACTTGGTGCTCCAGCCGTGCTGGTAGCTGGATGCTGTCACAACTCGATATGATATAACTCGGTCTGAAGTCGTGCCCGCAACAAACTGGACCTGTCCAATTAAAATCCTACAGCTGCATGAGCAGTCCAGTCTGGTCCAGTTGGGTTGGTTCTCCCAGTTTTCCAGTTGTCTCCAAGTCAAGAAACCTCTTATCCTTCACGGTGCGCGAAGGCTTGGCGAAGCTTCGGGTAACCTCTCGTGCCGCTTTTCCTTTGAAACTGGTCATGTCGTGCAAAAGATGCAGGACTTGGAATCGAAAGGCCCCATCAGACAGCCATGCAAAGATGAAGATGCCCAGGTCAGAGTCAAGGATCATGTTCGAATGCTTGTGCAGGAGTGCCTGGTCATCAGATGAAGCTGGTGCACCTGGACACTTTACTGGAGGAGGTCGTTGACTGTGACTGACAGCGTTCATCGGTTCTGCAGCTGTAGCTCGTGTTGCAGGGGCCTGCATCCCTCCAACGCATCGCTGCTTTCCTCGGAGCTGGCCCGGCCAACCACTCCACTGAATGGGCTGCAGCGCTGCCATTGCAAGCCAATGTTGCAAGCGACAGTGAGGCTGAGGCAGCATTCTGGAAGGCCCCCCGTTCGAAGCTCGAGCGTAGCAGATGTTGGTAGGATGTCAGCATTCTACAGAAGCAGCGCAGGATTGGTGCGAGCTGCCTCAAGACCTGGCGCAGCAGCTTGAGCGCCTCTTGGCACATGCTCAGCGTTGCAAAGTGTGGTACAGGGGGCGGCACGCTGGCCGTGATCCAAGTTGTTTCGATTGAAACATGTCATGAAGCTTCTCAGGACGACGGCAGGCTGCAACAGCTGGGGTGCCGCAGCTTTTACGAAGAAGTTCAGCTTCCCGGCTCGCACACAGCCTTTGAGGTAAGCCTTTTGGGGTTCCCATGTCCAAAAGACACAGCTCATGTCAGGAACCTGTGCCGGCATCCCTTACCAGACCCGAGTCCTTGCAGCAGTACGCCTGCAAGCGTGCGCGTGAGCTCGAGCGGACACGACATATGTCAGGACTACGGCCGTTCAGAAAAGTTGAGTTGAAAGCTCCTTGTTTTGGTTTCACTAGTCACATTGAGTTAGATGAGGCACCTAGTGCATGACATTGAAGCTGACTACGATTGATTTCTCATTCTTTCGAGGGGGGGAGGGGCGGGGAACGATTTCAATCATTGATTCCGCTTAGTTCTTCCAAAAGATAATCTTCTTACAAAGCTCCCATGCTCATTCTGAGGTAATATATCGAATAGGAATAGGATCTGAAATTGGATTTATATCAATCGACCAATTCATTCGGAACAAAATGTTTAACGAAGAATTCCGAAATTTTGTATTCTTAGATAATGATACGAGAATATTTCTGGGAGGTCGATAAATGGATAGGATGAATCTTTTTTTCTCATTCTGAGATATTGAGATTTGTATTGGGGATGATAAAGGGACATTATTAAAAAAATGGATTATTGATAAATTCGAAGGGAAATTCAATATCATCATATTTAT